TCCTTTGTTGGCGGCGCCGGGGTCCTGTTCACTGTGAGGGGCCGGGCGGGGCCGGCGGGGGCCGCGGCCGCCAGGGCTGGGAGCGCGACGCTGCTGAGGGGCGCCAGCAAAGCCTCTGCCCTTTTCCAAGCCCGGGCGGTCCTTGTGTTTCTGGTCCTGTCTGCGGGGAATTTTCCTTAATCGTGACCGTGCTGAGGGTTCAGCCCTCGTCAGGAGGCTTTGGGGATTAATTTCGCGGGTCAGGTGATGTCGATCGTGGAAAAAATAAAAAGAGAAATCCTCCTTGAAGCTTGAGTTTTAAAACTACGATGTTGCTAGTACTGTTTGTAGCTATCTGTTGCACAGGCTACATACCGATCTGCTGTTTTTTAACAACCATCTTATTTTTTCATCAAGAATAACCTGAAGCTCTCTTCGAAGTTGTATTCTGAGGTTGCTAGACTATGCTTGCTTGCTTTACAGGTGAAAAGTCCAAAACATGAACAGCAATACACCATACCTGTCCTCAAAGCTGACTTGGCTAGAAGTGGAGCATAGTTCCCTAACGCATCCTCTGGCAAGGAAGTTGTAATGGCCAACAAGAAAGAGCCTCCTTTTTTCAATGAAGATAACTTCGGACCATTTCACTACAAACTTCCTTTCTATGAAACTATGGAGCTCTTCATTGAAACGCTTACAGGCACGTGCTTTGAACTGCGAGTGTCTCCCTTTGAAACAGTCATTTCTGTGAAAGCTAAAATTCAAAGATTGGAAGGTACTGTTCTCTCTTTTATATCAGCTTAAACGTTGTCAGATTAGAGGAAGTCTTAATTTACAAATGATAACTATAATCATGCTAAAATCAAACCAGGTAACTTAAATGATTTATGCGGTATTAACTATAAGCTAGTACTCAGTTTATGATTTAGGCTTAATTGGAATTTATGTTTTTCCATTTTTTCTTTTCCTGTTATTTTGTGTATAATTGTTAAGATAAATCTCAATAAATCTGTAGTAAGTCGTTACTTGTGTTTACGTTGCATGGGAGATGCTATTTTCTGTGTTTAAAAGATTATCTGGGATATAGTTGTTTATCTGGGATTGAGTTGTTTATCAACTAGTCAAAGTTCTTCAAGCCTAGGCTGTAAAGTTGACTCTTGCCATATGTCTATGCTGCAGCTGTTTGGGCATGCTTGTGCTGTGACTGTTTCTACTTGGGTTAGCCAGTTAAGCCTAGTTTGGTTTACCTGTAATACTGTAATTACAGGAATAACTGTAGTGCAGGCAAATCCAAAGATGGCATGAAGTTACTGATGATAATTTTGTTTAGGTGAGTGCTGTTGTTCTGGCAGATGTCTATCTGAGCAGTGCTTGGTCTAAAAGTGATAAACTTGGTATGTCTTGCAAAGTGCAAACATCCTTAGAGTTATGAGGGCAGCCCTGATACTAACACAAGGAAAAAAGATGTGGATTAGTCCTCTTTCACCCCTTTCCTTCCATAGTAGGAATGACCCTGTGTAGGAAACGTGCTTTGAAGTATGTATGTATACAAGTTCCTTTGCTACTTTGCAGCAGTGCATCTTCTCTGACTTTGCAGGAGTTAGACAGCTGTGTTACTGTGTGAGCTGAGAGTACAGGGCTTGGTAATTTCCAGAAAAGGGATCCTCTCCTTCCCCAGTATACCTCTATGTGTTTATTGTGCTCCCACGTGTGCGGAAGTTGCCGTCCGGGAGATGTAACATGCGTTAGATTAGAATCTTAAAGGCTCTCCTCCTTTTAGGAAAACCTGCACTCAGGCACTGAAGCCTGGAGTTGTGCAGCAGTAGCTGTGTGTTAGTCTTAGAACATACAAATATTGCAGCAATATGGGGGACTTCTCAAAGGTTGTATATTAGAAGCGTCACCTGGAGATGGCTAGAGTTTGCCCCAGTGTAGCTATATGGACATGCTTTTGCTTCTGGTAGACAGGGCAGTAGTTAAATACGAATCAGAGAACGTGTCGAGGTGCTCCTGGGTGCTAGGTGTGAAATACAAAAAGGAAAGGTGTTGTGTCATGGTTCCCCCCTTCCCCTGCGCTGATCTTGACTCCGTGGCTGAGTATAGTGGTGATGGCATGTTAACTAAGAGTGGAACATAGGCAATTTAGTACAGGAGAATGCAGATTATATGGACAGTGTAGAGTACAGATGAGGAATGAATTTTAAGGGCGGTAAGAAGAGACCAGTCTAAAGATGTGAGGAATCTGAATTTCTGTAGTCCAAAACAGGAGAGTGCAAATAGGTATACTGAAATATGCCTATAGCCTGTTATTATGGGCTAGGTGTGCCAAGTTTATGAGCGCATCATAATTCATAATAAGACCAGCTAGTACTGAAGTTGCAATATTGCTTATTAGGAATTTGGTTCACATGATATAATTCTTAGGATGATGAACTAATAGCTTAGATGCCTGCTATGTAAGCTTAAGTATATTTCATTAAAACATAAAATGTGAAGAGTTCACTGGTGCTTATCATTTACTTGACAAAAGTCAATTGGAATACCTTGATGGTCCGAAACAGAGTTAAAAGATCTGTAATGTCCTAGTTAATATGATATATAAGGGGCAGAGTGGTGCTTTCTCTATTGAAATTGGATTGGTGAGCTATGCATGTGCGTCTGAAGGGGACGGTCACACAATGGCAAACTCATTTTACGTTGTATTTGAGGCTGGTATTGCATATAAAAATAAACAACTTTTCAGTAACAACGTTCCTGTTATAGTGCCCAAGTTCAAGGAATTAATCACTCACATGGATGGAAAATCCAAAGTAATTTTGTGGCTGTAGTATAGCATGAAAGGCAAAAAGCTTACTTCCGTTTCTGCTGCCTTTTTTTTTTTTTTAAACTTTTTGTTATTATATTATGTCAACTTTTATGAGGTGTGAACTTCTCCCATTTAAACTATTCCTCTGGCTAGACAATGGGAGAGCAAGAACCTCACACTGCCAGGAGAATATATAGGGCCCTTGGTATGCTTATTACCTCGGTGGACTGATCTGTGTGTTGAAGATAATAGTATGCAAGCACACAAAATGAAAAATTATGGGGAAAATGATTAAATGTACCACTTGAGATCTCTGAGAACAAAATCTAGAATTGTAGCAGAAGTTAACAGATTTATTCAGAAGGTCTGGGCTCAGTCAACAATACCTCTAATTGTAAGGGACTGATAGTAAAACCAAATCAAGAGGAACTGATCTTTGCGTACAGCTGGAATATCAAAAGCTGTAGACGGTCTAAACTATAATAAGAAAAAATAATATTAATGGCACACAAGGAATTCTGAATACTTCTGATATTGTTTGTCATTCTTACTACCTCTTTAATGATCTGATGTGGAAAGAGAGTTTTAGACCGCTCTAGTAGGCGTTGGTATCTCACTAAGCAAGAGCTCTAGATCCTTCCAGTTTGTTTCAGCAAAGACTATGGATAACCCTTTTGTAAGGGGGCTCTAGCACATAGGAAAATTCTGAGCAAGTTTGCTTGTAAATTGAAGCTAAAACAGATCTGATGTGTGCTAGGATCAGATCCAGGCATTTGTCCTCGGACATGTTCTATAGTAACAAACACCATGTACTCAGTTTGCAAATTCATGTGTGTTATAATTCTGCCTTGGAGCCACCTAGAATAAATTGCTCTTCTACTCAGATCCACTGAATGAGCCTGTGTAAATGCTACATCGGAGAAGAACCAACTTCCTTAGTCTCTGATACCAGTGGCCTAAAAACTAGAATATTCTCAGTCAGCAGCAGAACGTACTATTGCCAGCAGTGCTACTTGCTCACTTAATTTTACTTGTTGTTGGCTATTTGTATGTTAAAACAGATAGTCTGTTGATGATCATGAATAGGATGGTACCTCGGTTTCAGAGTGGAGAATGAGATTTTTTTTTCACATGTGAAATAGCAGAATTTCATTGAAAAGTAAATCACTTTTTAAATTTTATTTTGAATAATAAACACTGCCCCTTCCTCGAGTGATCTCGTGTTGCTTGCTACATTGCAAAAGTCTTTGTGGCTGCTGTGCTGGAGGAGTTTAGGTTTCTTCTCTTGGAAACAAAAGTTGTTATAATTTTTCTAGAATGAACATCGGAATTGGACAGACAGTATACTAGTTTTGGTTAATTCATTGATCTGTCGAAGGATCAAAGGATCTGTCATGGAAACATGTCTGGTCAGTCATACAGGATTGAGTCTCAGGGAAGGAGATGGGGCTTGGTTTGTTTTATTTATTAATTTTTACTTGTGGGAATTGATTTACGTGGAGTGTTAAGGCCTTTGTTCACGTAGCTGGTTTTAAAATAGGAAAAAACATGAGATAGTCATGATATTTTTTTTCAGTGACTGCTTGGAACCGGACTGTGATCTATGTATGTGAACATCTTCCTTTTTACCTCTAAATTCGGGAGTTTTCTTGTTCTTGTCTTATAGTGAAGGGGACAAATGAGCTAGCTTTCAGAGTTGTTCTTAATTTTTAATGCTTGTGTTTAGTTCAAGAGAGAAGAACAGATGCAATAATCTGTGTGTGTGTGTGTGTTTTTTAATGTGTATGTACTCTCAGTTCCTGGTGAGAGTTGTTATTTTTCTTTGATCTGTTTGCTTTCATTATGTTGCTGCCTATCTGACCCTTTGCACTTCTTCCCTAGTGTAGCTAGCTTGTGGGACAAAATGAAGAGGAGCAGCCCAACCTCTGTGTAAGCAGGAACAGAAAGTGAACTCTTAAGAGGCTTTCCAGCAACTGTATTGGTTGAAAGATGACTAAATTGAGTTTGAATTTTGACTTTGAAGTTTGTGCTGTTTTAAATATAGCCTTTTGTATTTGTCCACAACACAAAATAAAGGTTGTTCTGAAATCTGCTTAGGGTTAAACTCAACCACATCAGTTTCTCCAGTGAGCCCACTTAGCGTGCCAGAAGGGTAACTAAAGCAATGAAGCTTAGGGGTAGATCTGGTAATCTAATTCAAGAAGAGGATAAGATCCCTGCTCTATTCCCCTTCCCACAAATTTTAGTAGGTCAGATTGTGTATTGAAACAGCTGTAGATGTGCTGACAGTCTGAAAAAAAAATCTCCAGTCCTCCTATAGCCTTACCTGGGTAGCCCATTTCCATTTGAACATTGAGCTGTAGCTTATTGCTCTATTCTTCTCTCTTCTTGGTCATGATTTAGAGTAGACCAGTGATACAGTGGTATGCTGCTTAAGGAGAGGGATGCCACAGAGGTATCTTGCACTTCTCATTGTTGCCAATTTTATGTACTGATTCCATGTGTAAATGTTTCCAGGAAAGGCTCAGTATAATACAGAAAAGGGACAACTGACACACATTTTTCTTGTGCATGAACCTATAAAGCACATACTATTTCATCTGTATATAAATAAAGAATTCTTAGAAAGCAGCTCAAAAAGGAATTGGTGATAATGGCTTGTCTGGTTCCCATTACAGCCAAGACACTACAAGGGAAGGTTTTGTTTGTTTGTTTGTTTGTTTTTCAAAAGGAGAAAAGAGAGCTGTTCCTCTTCCCCTTAACCTTAATGTTTTTTGGTGATCAAAGGTCTCTTCCTTTCATAACTGCTGTGGTTTATAGTCTGTCTAAAAATTGGAGAATAGCGACCTTTTATTAAAAATGTGTAAAGGTCTGGTGTGGTACCATCTTATGCTTATTCTCTTTAATGTGTATTAGGTCTGTATTTAAGTGAGTTGACTGTGTAGGCAAAAAGAAACAGAGGTAATCATTAGGTAGAGGTAGATTTTTTTTTTTTAATAAGGAGCAAATACTGTCGATATACTTGCTTCCTTTAAATGAAAGATCATCATGCCAAAACTGTCCCCAAACTTATAAGTTGAAAAATGAGTATTATTGCGTATGTGTAATAGTATTCTGATGGTATAAAAGCACAGAGCAAAGTAGAAAGCAAAGTAGTCCTTTCAGTGTTTGCTGTACAGAGTTTGCCTAACTACTTACGGCGTTATGTTAGACAACTGAACTGTACAGGTTCTGGACTAAACGGTCCGGATAAACACTTTGAGTTGTCACCACTGCACTAGAGCTGCCACCAGCATTTCTTAATGGAACGTTGTCTTTACTGCGAGTAATGCAAAATATCAGCCCGGGATAAATTATTCAGCAAGTCTGTAGTTAGAGGTTTTATCCTGTTCTTATCAGCAGACAGAAAACTCTAAGGTATAGATAACAGGAAAAAGCTCTTTTACATTTACCAGGCAAGCGAGTAAGGGTTGCTTCTGGCTTAACTGAACACTTTCACAAACTCCATGTTGAGCTAAAAGATGGAGCTCCACGTAGGAGCACCAGCCTGCTAGAAACCTTAACTTTGATCTTAATAACTATTCAGGAGGTTGGGTATCCTTTCTGAAGTGCCAGTCCTTGTCCTATTTCCTTCCTTCTCCTGCTACCCCCTTTTCTCCTCTCCCTGTACTCAAGAGTTCTTTTTAAGAAAAACAAAAAAACAAATATCCCCAAAGCCCTCCCACCAAACTTCAGTTTTAATCTCTTGTTTTGTTTTGTTTTTGGTTAGGTATTCCTGTCTCTCAGCAGCACTTAATTTGGAATAATATGGAACTGAAGGATGACTACTGTTTGAATGATTATAAGTAAGTATAGAAAAGTATAGAATAAGACTGCAACAAATGTTTCTAAATGATTGTTAACATAGGCAATAGAAAATGCTACAAAGTTTTATTTATTTATTGCCATTTACAGCATTTCAGAAGGCTGCACTTTGAAGTTAGTTCTGGCTATGCGAGGTGGACCTATTAACACTAGAAGAGGTAGGTGTTAATTCAGTTTAAAATAATGTATTCATGGAACAGTTATGACTGTGAAGAGATTTCTTGCTAAGCATTTTGGCTGGGCAGACTTCAGTGCAGAATTAATTGGAACTTTTAAAAATCTGGTTAGTAAGTGTCAGGCATTGTTTTAGTTTGATGATAAACTTGGTTATATGGTTCATCCATAGAGGAATGAAAGCATAAAGCAGAGAAATTCCCTTGGTGTTTTCACTTGGAAAGCACTTGGCATATCTTTTAGGCTGAGCATTACCATCGTAAGGTGAGCTGAGCTTTCAAAAGCAATCAAAACATGCCTAACGTTTGAGTGCTTTCATGTAATGAAATCTCAGTTGTAACAGTGCCCTAAGTATCATCTAACAAAAGTAGTTTTGTAAAACAATGCATATTTAAAACTGTATAAAATTTTAAGATGCATTATTGTAAGATAGTTATGTTAATCTTTGTTTCACGAGAATTCATTACCCTAAGAGCACTGATTGTCATTGGGCAGGAGCTACTATTAGAATAGTTCGATCTCTGAAAAGTTTACTGTAAATATTTAACTCTTCTTTCTGAAGAAGCTCCTGGTAGGAGTCCCAAGCGCTCTTAGTAAAAGAATAAAGGGATCTGTTCGCTTAGTGTAGCAATGTGTTGGGGAATTATTTCCTCTGTGTAAAATTAGAGGAGTGAACTAAACATTTTTTTTCTGATCTCAGAGTGGGAGAATTACCCAAATTGAGGCAGTTTACAAAAAAAAAATAATACAAGTTTTAATTAGTATGGTAATCCTGATTTTATTTTGGACCCATTCCTCTGACTTCCAGACAAACTCACCTCTAAAATAAGGTGTAATGATGATTTTATAACCTATACTTAGTGAACTGGAGGTCTTCTAACTTGTTCTATGTTCTGTTCCCCATCTTTTACTTCTCTACAGTAGTGCTCAAGAGGTACAGCTAGAAGTGTGTCCTATAGTCACCAACATAGAGAACACTTCTCCATTCAGTTTTTGGCAGTTAGGGAGAAGCATGACCTGGTAATCTTACCAGACTCATTGTTTAGTAACTGAACTGATGTATTAGGCTATCTGTTCTTCCATTTCTTTCTCTCCGCCCTATGCAATTATTGGCAGGATAGCTTTTCCTAAAGTGACATCCCATACGTTAAGGGACCAAAGAAAGGAGAGTAGTAACATGAAGGTGAGGAGGAGCAGCTAGTTTAGCATTAGAAATTACCTGGATTCCTTAAATCTTCAGGTTCAGGTTTGTATTTCTGTCACTTCAGTCAGTGTCTCCTGTAGGTAGGACTTAAAAATACCACTGAGCTGTCTCCTGAATACACAATGTCATAATTGGGTCTTCTATTCTGTAGCTTTCCTGAATGGTTTGGTAGCTGCTACTAAATTTCTTAAGTCTCTTACATCCTTCAGAAATGCTGAAAAGTGGAAGGCGGTTCAGAGTAGCTCTGGAATAGATTTTAATGTCTGATCAGGTGAATGAATGGGTGTTTTTAGAATACGGGGTTATTAGAAAAACAGGCCCATAGCAGTAAGCATTTAGATTTCTTTATTTACAAAGACTTTGTGTAATTCCTTGGAATTTATTTGTTACTAAAGAATTTCCTGAAGCGTACAGATGTAAATGTGTCAGAGAGGGACTTCAGCTGGATGTTTTATGTATGCATGGCTAAGCATCTGAGTTGGATTTAGAGAATGCTACTTGCAGAGCAGCAAGAATGTTTGAAAGGGGCTGTTACACGTTGAATCTTTGATTGCTGTTGTCTTCTAGAAGACTGGCCTATTGGCGTGATGCTTTTGTATCATTGCTGTAGTTACCTTTAGACATAGTCAGAAATCTGAGGGTTTTTCCCTTGGGAGAGCAGGAAGTACAGAACTTTAAAGTTGATATAATTTGAATTTATTCTCTTTTTTTTTTTTTTTTCCTCTTTGTAGTTCCTGTGGAAGACCCTATTAGGGAAATGGCTGAATATATGGATCCCAGTAGAGATGAGATCTGGGAGAAGGGGCCATCCAACAAACAAGTTACCTTTTTAGTATATCGAGAAGGAGATCAGTTGAATTTCTTCCGTGTGGTAGACCGAGGAGATGGCACTTTAACACCATTATCTGAGTCTTTGAGGTAAAGCTGGTTTCAATCCATATATTTTTCTTCAAAAGGGGAATGCTGTAAAACTTTCAGCTAATAAATATTGACTTTATCAAAAGAATATATGGAGGCTTGGAGGAATAGTTCCTGAAGGACTACCAAAACGCTGTAGCTGGGTGGCCTAACTGTTCGGTAGGCTTTGTGGTCAGTGGTCGTTTTGACTGCCTCCTGTCACTGTATGTGTCACTACAAAGTGAGATAAAGCTGACCTAGTCACTTGAGACAATTCTTAACATCCCAATCCATTCTCAAAGGGAACATTTCCCAAGAGAGTCAGTTTGGCGGTATAAGGATATTAGAAATGTTAATTAAGTACTTTTTCCATCTTAAGGTACTTGCTTAGTTTTATAAACGTTTCTCTCTTCCCAGCCCAAGCTTACTTTTTCATATGGGTATGACTTCACCAAAGGATTAGTCAGGAAGGTAGTAGATTGGCAGTGCAAAATCCTGTCACAGTTTGCTGGAAGATGCAGAGGAGCTGCTCAGAATTATTACTACTAGCCTTTGGACATAACTAGGTCTCAGATTAGCTACTGTTGAGGCATGAAACTTGCCTGAGAATCACTGTCACAGAATTAAAGTACTGTTATCAGAAGGGCAAGTCTGTCACTTAAATTACTACCCTTTAATGAAGTGTGGTCTGGGTCATTTCTTTAAGCTCTTGCAAGTGTTAAAAACTATTAAAAACTTATTAGGTTCTGTATACTGCAGCTTTTGGGTAGGCTTTTTTCCCCCCAGAAAAACTTAGTATTTATACTATTGTAAGGAAGGGAGTTTTGGTATTCTAGGGTCTAGCTGCTTTTTCCTCCCAAGACTTGCACTGTTTGAAATAGGTATTCTTGTTCCTGTTTGCAAAATGAAAGCAAGGGCCTTCTACTAGGTCAATATTTGGTAGGTTTTTCTAGTTAATCCTTGCTTCTTTCCGTAGGGATTAGCATACGGACTGCTTTTTTGGCCTGTTGCTTCCCTTCCTCCTCCCCCACCGAAATGCTCACAGAAGAATTGATCTATACTCACATCCTAATGGAAGTGATGTTTACAGGCTATTGAAGTATCAGAGTTGAATTCTGAAACAGTGAATAGAAAGAGCTAGTGTCCAGTAGACAATTATTGGAGGGAAAGAGGAGGAAAGCTGCAAGTATGTCAGAGCCGTCATTTTATCTTTCAGCACCGATATTCTTCTACAGTAAATAGCCACGTATGGAATTGTATGCAGATTTGAAAGAGAGGGGAAAAAACATAATCAGTAGGAACTGAGCACGGTGTTGCTACGTTGGCCTAGACAGGCTTCTGGGAAGAAGAGCAGGCGACTGTAATTCCTTTTCTCACTAGTATCCTGACTTTGCCAAATTGTTCATTCATTGCTTTAAACGGAAAGAATCCCAAAACCAGTCCAAAGAGCTAAGACTGAGGATGTTATACTGCAAGAAGTTGTCAGAAGGAGCTTGAACTTTCATTTGTCAGTATAGTGGCCTCCCTGATACCTGCCCAGCCGTTCAAATTCTTGGGTTTATTGAGTTTTATTTGCATTTAAAATGAGCATGGACGATTGTCTGAAATTCTTAGTATTTCTCAGGTTCTCCTAGTCTGTAGATTAAATAGTAATTTACTTGGGATTGGCTAAACGTAGCAAACCAAAGGAATAAGCCACACTGATTTGGCTCTTGCAAGGACATCTTGGTAAGCCTTCAAAGTACAACAGTGTATGTAAAAGTCAAAGTATATTCTCCTTATGAAATGTTGTCATTGTTCAGAAGATCCAGTTAGGCTGGAAGCCTGCTGAGTTGAATGCATTCAGCTTGAACCACCTCTCTTCTTCCACATTTTCTATGGGAGTTCAGTTACAGGCTTTTCTACTAGGGCAGCCAATAGCTTTGGGGAAAAAAATATTTATTTTTATGGCTAATAATAATAAAACCTTACCAGGTCAGACTCTGTGGGAAATGGAAAAAGTGACAAAGGGAAGAGGGAATGGAAGTGAATCAGACCTCCTTTCCAATTGAGCTTTATACAGAAAGGCTGTGAATCACCCTTGGGATACTAGCATTTTTCGCACTGACGATTAAGAGTGTTTATACGTGTGGGTGTACTGGTGACTGAGCAATTTGAAGCACTCATTTATCGGCTTTTCTCATATTGCTCGAGCGTGGAGCAGGATTCAGTTACCTCAGTTTAGAAGTGGGCCGTTCATTTGAGTTATGTTTTATAACTGTCTAGACCGTTTTATGTTGTCTGTGGTTAAGTTAATGGTTAAAACATGACAAAGTGTAAATATATACTGTGATTATTTTCTCTGTATTAGAAGAAAATTGCTGAAGCTGTGGTAGAGCTGTGGTAGAGCAGGCACTAGCAACAAGATAGAGTGTTTCAACAAGCTACTGATTGTCTTTCAAGCGTGCATTTTACAGGCCAGATCTTGGGAACATTCACAATTATGGACAATACAATTCTAAACAAACACAATTTCAGTTTGAAATCTTCTCTTTGAAAAATGAGCTAAAAGCATCATCATGAGCAAAGTTCCCTGTCCCAATTTTCATGACTTCACAATCACAATCCAGTTAAACTCCTTTATTAATCCATTTTTGAAGTTCTTACCTCCTATTTAGCCAGAAAATGTAAGAAAAATAGCAACATTGTTTTTGCATAAAGGAAAAAAAAAAAGGGAATGTTATTCCTCCTTTTTGTTTTCTATTTTTGCCTTAAGGGAAGGGGACTGCAAAGAATTATTTTCAGTTGATCATGACTTTTAAGTGTTTGTAGAGTTAAAATTCTGAAGCGATTTTCTAGTGCTGAATCTTTACTAGGAGAGGTGTAATATGCATGCTGGCTGTCCCTGTACGGAGCTGTTCAGTTCCTGGTAAGAAACTACCCAACTACTATGCAGTCTTGCTTTGAATTTGCTGCCATTTTATTCTTAAAGATCTATATCCTAGCTACCTTGCCTTCTGAACTTTGCTACGTTTTAAGAGATGAATTTGGAGAGTCAGTGAAAAAATACTGACTCTTGACTAAGGGCAGCAGAGTATTTCCAAGAACCAGGTAAGATGTCAGCTTTAATTAGTGATCACAGAACCGAGATCTGTTATACAAAGACAAGATTTTATATAGTTTCTTATAATTACAGGAGATGTAGCTTTGTATGGTTTTTTTGGAACTGACTTTCTCAGGGCACTTAGTTCTTCCTTTGTCTCTTTTAGAAAGAAGAAACTTCTGTTAAATCTTCTAAGACATTTGTATGAACAAAAGGGAATTGCCTAACTGTCACAATTTTTAGGTGCTGACAGCATAATGGGAGAATTAAAACACTTTTTAAAAAGTACTATACACAATGTTGAAAATTCATCAATTTGTAGTGAGTTGGACAGTTTTACAAGTTCTTTCATATCACTGTCAAATGTTGGACTTGTGTTACTGAATAATGCTTGATAGGAAAAACAAGTCAGATACTAAATTTAAAACATTGTCTTTTTCCATTCTGTGTTCTAACAGAATGCAAAAAGTCAGTGTGGTGCTATAAATTTCCAGTGATTGAGTTAAAATATTTTGTCTTTGAATCTGTTTATTTTTTCCGAATGTTGAGACTCTTTGGAAATCTAAACTGATCCTTTTTTATTTTTTTTTTTTTTATTTTGAAAAGGAGAAATAGAATATCACATCCACATGGGTGACCCCTCCATTTCCATTTATGGTGAGAACACCCCTCAGGATGGATAGAAATTTGGACTTTCCTTCCATGCCAGTGTCTGGTTAATTGGAAATCTGATCAGCTTGTTGTCTGAGTCACACTGTTAACAGCTTTGGCCATACCTTCAGGAGACACTTGTGGAACTGGATATTGCCTCTGTGGGGAAAATATATAGTGAGTGTAAACCAACTGTATATAGCATAACGACTTCCCAAAAATTGGGCTATGCTCTGATTTCAGCATCGTCACTTTGTATGAGTGCTCTAATAAGGAATGTTTTATGTTCTAAAATAAATGGATTTGAAATGTCTTTGCACATGGTTTTACATAATGCTTTGTCAACAGATCAACTACGGATTTGGCTTTCTAGTTGTGAGAATACTCTACATTGAAAACATAATAAAGTTTCTTGATCAGAGGGTAAAAACTTTCTTTTTTATTTTCAGTGGTGGTTCAGTTTATAACTTATATGCTGATAATGAAGACGAAACAGAGGCATCACCTTCTGGCCAACAGATTATTGAGAATTCAATTACTATGAATAAAATGAAGCTGCTCAAGGCAAAGATGGAGAACATGAATCTGAGTAAAAAGGTGAAGCTGTAGGTTCAGTTCTTCTGTTATCAAATGACCTGCACTTTCCTGGTACCGGTCTTGCTAAAAAACAGATCAATTACTTTTTGGCTACTCTCTTGGGAAGTGGAGTGATAAAGGATGAATGATTTTATTGTCTGTCATTTAACATCGTGGACATCACTGTGTAAATGTTCTTCTGCTGTGGGACATTGACTTTTCTTGGATCTCTCTCTCAGCATTCAAAGAATTCACTAGTTGTCCTGGATTTATTTTGTTTTCCGGTGCTTTAAGTAGCAGTGTTGTGCAATACTGATCTGGTAAAATCAATAATATGCTCTTAAATGACACTTCATTAGAGATAATGTAACTGGAAGACCTATAAACTTAAATATAAGAATGAAATCACCTAGTAGATGAAGCATTAGGCTGATGTTCAGGAGATCTGGATTAAACTTAACTGAGAGATTTAGTAAGATTTTTTTAATAGCTGTGTCTTGGTTCCTATGTCTATGTGTAAAGCAAAGATGTTATACTTCCTGTCTTTAATCGTTATCTTGTCTGAGACAACTCTTCTGAACAGCCTTAGTGTTCTGGCTTCCCTTTTCCTCTGATAGGTGGCGTATTTACTAAAAAACAATTTTTTCTAATTATCATCTTTGATTGTAATATGCGGCTGTTGGGGTGAAGTTTTAATGGCTAGTACCAGATGAGGTAACAGAATAAATAACTTGATGGGGCTTTCCGTCCTTAAACTTTCTGAAATGCTAGGACTGTCATCAGAGTCAAGTCTTTGAGTATGACCATAGTGAAAATACTAACTGCTTTTTTTCCCTCTTCTTTTCTTTTTTTTCCCCCTCTTTCTCTGTTTTCCTTCCTTTTTTTTTTTTTTTTTCCCTCTTATAGCCTAAGAAAACTGTCAAGGCGAAACCTCGTCCTCCAGTGGTTCCTCGACCATCTAGTAGTTCAGTGTCTGCTGCTGCTCGTCACAGGTTTTTAAGAGTGCTCCCCCATATTGGACAGTCCTGTCTACCTCCTCCTGGGAATTCATATCCTTCAGAGTCTTCCCAGAATGCGCTTTCAGCTTTGGCTACTTTGGCCACTGCTGGTATAACAATGCCATCTACAACTAATGGCTTTCTTAAGGAAGATGACACCTGGCAGAGCACCTCTTGGTCTCAGTCGGTTAGTAGCATTAGGTTACCACCGAAAATATCTCGTGTCGAACTAGAAAATACAAAAATACCGACAAATAGTATTCTGACTCCTGCTTCATCTCTGCCTACAAATTCAGAAAAATCATCTGAAAATGTGACCTCTACAAGTGAGAAGGATTCTATTCTTTATGCAAATCTATCAAGTTTAGAACCATGTGGAACAGAAGAACAGCTTCTACCTGAAACTGATGCTTTTGCTTTGTTAACAGAAGCAAGCACCACTGAAAAGTATAGTGAGATATATGGCATAGGAAAGGTGAACCCAGAACTTGGACTGTCTGATAGGGATGAAGAGTCTAAGGTTGTAGAACAGCATAGAAAACCTATTAGTAAAGTGCTGAGCACTGCAGCAATGGAGGCTGGGCTTCTCAGTACTCATGAATTAAGTCCTCAGAAGAATACACTTTTATCACCTCTTAGGTATTCAGCACAAGTGGCACATCACAGCTCTCTGAAACCGCAAACACAACCTAAATGCTTTGAGGTTGGTAACTTGAGATCTGCAGCTCCTCCAAACGTGCTCCGGTCTTTGGAAGTTCGCAGTATAGCAGATTCCTCTTTTTCTAGGACTACTAAATTTCGTGGCATGAAGGTAGATTCACTTGGCAAAAGACCTGATGTAATTTCTGAAGTGGAGCCTAGGGACATTACAGATATGGCTAACAAAGCATCCAAAGAACCTGCAAGTTCTATTAATAACTTAGGATTTCTAGCTTCGCTGGCCCGAAGTGCAAGCAGGGAGAACTTGCAGAATTCCTGTGGGACAGGCAGGTTTTGGACTTCTGGTATTGCACTGCCTACAAACCTTCAGCGTTTTCAGGAAGAAAGCTTTAGGAAAACTGCTCCCCCAAATGAAGCTGCTGAATACGTTCTAGTGAGTACTAACACTTGCGAAGAAATTGCGTTTTTCCTGTTTTTTCTGGTTCTGGCATTACGAAAGCCATGTATTTCTGGTGCATGTGTCTCCTTAGGGAATGCGGTTGGGGTGAGGAGCAGACTTAAATCCCTTATACTTTGGAACTGTTTTTCTAAATTGCTGTTGATATCTCTGACTGCATATTTATATAAATGGGTCCTAGAAACAATTTTTCCAAAGAATTAAAGCGATTGTTTAGTTCACAACCAAAATTCTTAGTTTTTGCAATGATGCTAGTAGAATTATGAGTATTTTTATGAAATGTCATCTTATTCCTGCTAAAAAACTGCTCGTTAGTTGTCACTTGTTCTAAAGTTTGCACTGTGACTGGCACCATATGTGCCTAACTTCAGGCTTCTAAGGTACTATGTTGTTTTGATATGTTGTTAAGTATGGGGAGACTATTAAATAGTCATTTTGAGCACAACTTTATATTGTTGAATTTTAAGTTATTTTACAAAAGTTGTCTTGGACTCCCTTCGTAGGTACGTTGACTGATAAAACATTGGTTTCAAACAAGCTGGTACCAGACTGCCTAATCTTTTATTTAATTCCCATCTGCTAGTAATTTCCATGTGGAAATTTTCTTATTTTTTTTTCTTTTTAAGCCTGCACATGGGCTTGGAATGAATGGAAGTTTTGCAGCTGTAGGGGAAAGAGTAGGTAAGTAATGTAACTTAATAATTGAAGATGACTCTTAAGCCTTTCTTGATTTATCAAATACAGAGGGCAATAATCATATCGTTGCAAGGTATATGTATTTTGAAGTCATTGCTTTACTATGTTTTTTTAGCATAGTATCAACCTTTTATAGCTTAAGCAGTTCTTTAATATACAGATTCCATCCTGATCTTAGGTAGACTTTACTGTGACTGTCTTCCTAGCTTTTATTATTAATAGTTAGTCAATCCTACATATCACCCATAAAAATAAACGTGACATTCTGCTCTGAAGCTTCTATAAGGTGAGTTCTGTGAATACTTTTGTGTATACTAAAATCAGAGGGACTGCTTTCATTATTGATACTGTCTTTAAGGCTGAAGTCTGAGCGTAAAGAATTTGACAAAAGGAAAGCAGGGAGGATGCAGTAAAGGCAGTGATGCTGAAGATTACTAATATAGTTTCAATTTTTTCCCTAGTTCTTGGGGCACATGTTGTTCTTCCTACCCAAGGCCTGTTAACTGTGGAGTGCTTAGCACTTGACATCTACTGAAAATGGATGTGTTGGCCTAAACGAGAGTTTCTTATGTGTTAATTCTTTCAGGAAGAGTGAAACTTCAATCTAAGTACTTCTAAAACTCTTAATCCATGTAAGTTGCGTTATAGCCTGAAACAACCAGGTTAGATGTTAGGGAAAGGGAAGAAGAGTATTGCCAGCTAGTGTTATTTCAATTGAACATAAGTCTAGGCCATATTAACTCTCTAAGAATGCAGTACGTAATACAGGGGCTGTAGCTTCTGCCTCTTTCCTGGAAGATACTTTTTCAAGCAGTGGCCAAGAAAATAACTTTCCTGGTGGTGTTCAAAAGCATGTTTAAGAAAAGCTGTAATGTATTTGCTGAGTCTTCACAAGGTTCCACCCCGCTCCACACCCCAGTGTGCATGTGTTGCCTTGGTAAACACAGTGATTTGCTTGTCTTCTGCATCTTCTGAAAGCCCTTTTCTTGGCTCATTTATGTCAACAGATGACTATGGACTCTAGGTCTTGCAATCTTTTCCACAGTGGGCAAGTCATCCTAGGCAGTGAGAACGTTGCTTCAACCGTGGGATGGTTGAAGTATTGCTGGTTTGGTAATGTTCAGAACTCAAGCCTAAGTCCAAAGGCAGTGCCTAACGTCTGTAGGCAGTTCCAAGAGGCCTGGCTTACCACGGCAGTTACTGAAGACGGTGGCCAAAAGCATCTGCTAAGGATTCTCAGCAGGATCAGCCTGTTTTCTCCTTCACGCACTTGACTTGCAGTTTGCAGACTTTCTTCTTTCTGCATGGCTTTAGGAAAGGAGGCATGCGTTCCAGGATCTTAAGGTCCAGATATAGAGAATTGGCTAGAAGATGGATTTTCCTGACATAGCAACTGCAACAGCAAAATTGATACAATTGTAATGGTTTAAGAGCAAAAGCTGTTAAAATAGTGATTTCTGTCTTCCTTTCACAACTGAGGGTGCAGCTTTGAATTAGCAATCAGCCTTAATAAGCAGGTCTGTCCGTACCTACTCCATGGCAAACAAGGTAATACCATAATAGCCTTACCTGCATTGTGGGGAAGCCCACCTTTCTATAATCTGCTTTGTTTCGGTGGTCTTCAGATTAGACAGAAGTGTATTTTCCAAAAAGTTCCAGACGTCAAAACAACAAAGTAGATGTCATTATATTGTGCAGGCTTTTGGAAGAAAGGTGGTTGGTAGTGATCTCCTGTATAGCTGGCCAAAGGAAAAATAAGTTTGTCATCTAAGGTTTTGATTTATTTATAATTACTTTCTTTTGTAATTGCTGTAGGGCCTGTCAATATGAGAACAGATATATTATTTATATGTTTAGGTATGGCCCACGGTGGGGACGGTCTTCAGCCTCTGTTGTCTTTACAAATTGCATCAGCTGATGCTTTGGAAATAGTATGCTTTTAGATTGTTTTGATAGCATGGACAAACATTGTCTGGAAGTCAATGTTTGGCAGTGATGGCTGTAACGTGAAATGACTGTCTGGTGTTACTGTTCAACGTAGCCTGCTGTATCTCAGCTGAGAAATGACTTACTGGGGCCGAAGGTGTGCTGGGTAAAGAACTCTTCTCAACTCAGGAGGTTGTTTTTCTGGGAGCTTCCTGACAGTATAGTGGTAGAAGCACTGAAAAAAACAGTTGAGAGGATGTGCTGCTTATTTTCAGTGTCCTATGGTATGGTAAGGATGAATGATCAAGTTGTGGACTAAGGGCTGCTTTGTGGAGAAGGAGGGAAGCTGCCTTTTCTTTACATGCCCTCTAAAGATAAAGGGAGAGCCAAGAGTTATAGGGCCAAAAAAAAAAAGTAAAATATTTTTTTGTCAAGTACAGAACTCTGAGGAACACCTGCAAAGTGCATTATGAAAGGACATAGCTAAATAGAGGCCTTTAGTCTAATTATGTGCTTTTCTTGCATTACAGAGTGCTAGCAAGATTTTAAAATGTTGCTGTATTTGTTTGGCAAACTTGAGTTAACTAGCTACTGAATTTACTAGACACTAGGTACTTGAATGCTTAATTGATTTTTCTGGAAAGCCGTTGTCTGCAGTGCTTTACCAGTCACGTTATGTATTTCTATTTTGCATTTATAAAGAGCATTAGGAGATGTTTCTTGACGACTTTTGTAACTTCTCGCTAATGTGAACTATTAACAGTTGTCAAAAACGTGTCCAAGTCCCACATTCTGCTGCCTCTTCCAAAGGTGGTGTTAGGCTTGAGGTGCATTTTCTCTTTTGGCTTTTGGGCCCCCCTTCACCGCCTTTAGGCCTGGGGGACCCACTTGAAGTATCCTAAGAAATGCAAAATGAATCTAGATTTCAGAAGATAACATTTAACTAGTTTCTGGTCAGGAATAAATAAAATGTCTTTGTTGTCTCTCTACCTCTGAAAGCAGGTGAAGCAATCCATCTTCCACCTGTGAATGGCTCAATTCAATCAAAAAAGAAAATTACAAAGCATTGCTTTCTTTGTGGCAAGAAAACTGGATTGGCAACCAGCTATGAGTGCAGGTAGGCTGAGTATATTACCAGCTGTTATTTAAAATGGATAGCTGGGTTAACCAAAAGATTTACTATGCTGTATGGTATTCCTTAAGCGTAACAATCAAAAGGCAGCTTTCAAAAAAAGTTGAAAATTGTTTGTCGTTCTCAGTTCAGTAAAGCTCCAAGAAGCAAAATTCGGGAATGTTGTACCTGTTCTGCTGTTGAGGTGTACGTTGTCCCAGAAAAATCAAGAAGTGAGAGGTATCAGGAAATAGTGAACATTTTTAAAAAAAAGAGAAAAAGAAAAAAGTAATATAAAAAACTAGTGTGGGGAGAACTTGTTAAAGGTTGAGGAACTTTGCAGAACATGAATCTGTAGGAATTTGAGGAAAAACTTTTTTGTTACAGTTTTTTTAGGAAAACCTACCTCAGATTAGGCTCTGTCATTACATGGCTGCACAGTCTGTGATTGCCTCTTATGAATTTTTATTATTGATCAATGTGTTCCAGTTCTTGTGACACTGCAGTCACCTTTGAGCTTCTAGAGCACCTCAAAAGCAGAACTGAGTGTACTGGTCCCCCAAATCATGGCTTGCTGGCAACTTACTGTCCTTGAGTCCTGCTGCAGTTGGTGGTCACTGGAGATTAAAAAATACATATATTTTCCCTTTTCTCAAAGTACAGTATTTCCACAGCATGTTCTTTTTCTTGGTATCATTTCCTGTGAGCTAATAAAGGTTAGGAACTGCTGCACTGAGAGCTATATTTGAAACCGATCTGGGTTAATGTCGGTCATCAGCAAAATGAACGAGACCCTGCCATTGGAGAATTGTGATGGAGAGTTGCAGGGTGAGGAACTGCCTCGTTACCGACTCTGATTTTTTTTTGTAGCAATTCTGGACATTACATGCTTCTCTGCTGAACAAATAGCTATGAGTTTTTTCTAGAAATAATCAAAGCAGGTTTCTTAAGGTTAAAAATGAAGCACAGAAAAGGGGGAAAATCATGCATCTCCAAGAATAGCATTCGTTTTAGTTTCAAAAGGAGCAACCATATAACCTTTTACTAGAATGGAGCATCAACCAAGTAAGAAATACAGCTGTAAGAGAGAGCCAACAATTACAGGACCAAGAACCAAAGTAAATCAAATTTGTTACCAGATACACAAGCCTCAGGAACAGCTGCGAAGTTTTATAAAGCCAGATAGATAAATAGAGGATTATTATAGTCTATAATGTGACAGTAATTTGCATGAGCTATTGTCAACCTGTTTGAAGAGAATTTTGATTCCGAGTTACGTCATTGCTTTACTGGCAAGAAGCAACTTTGTCAAATGACTTCAGGCAACAGGACACTAATATTAGTCTCCTCTTCAAGCACTTGTTCGGATCAGGTACAATGTATATATTGTCCTTTCCTCTTGTTAGGAGTTGTATCTGTGGTGAGTTGTCAAATTGGAAGGTGAAATCATAATCTTAACTCAATGAATTTGCAACTGATACTGGAGAGATGCACCCTTATTCAGTCATGGAGGATAATAGTCATGTTCCCTAGAATTAGTTCATCTGTCTTCACAGCTGACTAAATCTATAATTACTAATCTGAGTTTATTTCAGGCAGAAATCAGTGCTGAGCTGAACATCTGTCTTGTTGCCTTAAATGATGTGGGTTTTTTAATTAAAACACGTTATGTGGATTTCACTTATTTTGGGTCTGTGTATTTGCCCACTGAATTCTGCCTACTGGTGTTGTGTGAGATCTTTTTTTTTTTTTTTTTTAAAAAAAAAAAAAAAAAAGCCAGCAACAAAGCAAGCCCATCGTTCTTCACTTATAACTGCTTGTAATCCTGGTTAGCTGATTCTAGGAGTTCCGGTCTTGCTTAGCGTCCTAGCTGAAGAGACCATTGGGTCAGAACTGCACCATTCAGTGACAAAAATGTCATTGTGATTACCCCACCAGTTAATGTTAGCAGTCGAGGATGATTAGAATCCAAAGAGTTAGGTTGAATAAACAAGATGTGATTAAGCCAAAAGGCTCCCAGCATGTCAGAGAGATAAAAGCTTGTAACATCTAATATTCTTGATTCTTCAGATGTGGAAACAACTTCTGTGCAACTCACCGCTATGCAGAGACTCACACCTGCACCTACGACTATAAGAGTGCAGGGCGAAGGTATTTGCAGGAGACCAATCCCGTCGTTAGTGCACCAAAGCTTCCCAAAATCTAACATGGTTGTGCTACATGTGGCCGTTCTGCCATTGAAGAATTGTATTGCATTCAGAGAAGCACTTGCTTAAACTGCATAATTTTGCCCTGCTCCACTTCTAAAGATTTGCCAAGTAACAAAAGCACATGAGGATGCATCCTGTTGAAGAATAATGTGAACACTACTGCAGTTAACACTTTTCTTCTTTAGCGAACGGAAAGTTAAAGATAGTTTTTAAAAACTTACACTATGATTTAACTGTTACTGCACGTCTTGTGTTAAGTGTTTTATATTTGGAAAGCTATTTCACTAGACAAGTCTTTAAAAGATGCACTTTACTAACTTTATTTACTGTATAACCAGACTTGAGGGAGTTCTGTAATAAGGGTGTCATGTAATGTCTTCTGTACTCTTGCGTTTTTTGTCCATTGCGTGGGATTTTTAAGTTATTTCGCTAGAAAAATTCTTCCCTCCTCTTTCTTTAAACAGCCTGTTGAGATCTTCAAGGGGTAGTGCGTTCTGTCCCTCTGTTCCATTCAGATTGGTGTTCATTCACTGTATATCCATTCTGAAAATAACATATCATGTTAATCACACTTTCTTAAAATAATACTATTTATAGGGCAAGTTTTTTTAAATAGAAAATTTCCCCTTTGTTGCCATTAAATATAAGGAACGATTTATTTTAACTTTTTTTGTAATCCTAGATTTTTTTAAGACTTCACAACTTGGTTTGTTAAGATGTTGAATGCTGTTACTGGAAGAAATTCTAATAAATATTAAATTTTATTCTGGTCTATGCTCTTACAATAAATGCACAAAATAACTTCCTATTTTACAGCAGGCTCCCAATTAAGATTTAGATTTTGTTATTTGGGGGGAGGGGAGGGGGGATTTTTGTTTTTCGAAAGCATTGACTAGTCTCTGCTCCCACTGAAGTCAGTGGTAAAACTCCCACCCACTTCATTAGGAACAGTGTGACCAGTACTATGGGCTTTGAATAAACCTTCTGAAGTCTTGCAGATGTGCCAGCAAAGGCAAAATGGGTGTTCAGCAAATGGCATGTATTAACCTGTAGCCGTTATCATCTCCAGCTGATACTGTACAAGAGCAGTTCAGTACTTGCTTAAGGGAGCATGTAGCTGTTGGAGAAAGTGGTGTTGGAGGAATAACAATTGAAAAACCTTTCATTCCCTTAAGCTTATAAAGCCTCCAGAGGAGATATACTGCCTGAGGTGTTCTATTATAAGTACACTTTAAAACAAAACTCTGCATTGCCTCTAAACACTTAACTGTTATGTTACTTCTAAATTGAAAACCTTGCTGCAGTTTATCCCCCTTTTTGCCAGATTCCCCAACTGTTTTGTTGGTTGTGGTATTAAAACGTTGTATGCTGTATTCCAGCTGGAGAATAGCAGCTGATGTACGTGGCAGTTAAAAGTTGGGCCAATAAAAGGAAGAAGATCTGCTGAAGATAAACTAGTAACTTAAAGAATTCTCATCCTTAGAGAAAAATCTCTTTTGGGTAGGCCATTGCAACTTCTTAAACCCCTTGGGATTTTCAGTGATGTCTCTAATGCCTGTAGTTTTTATTGCATCTCCAATACAGGTGACAATAGGGAAAAAATAAGAAATGGGGCAAACATGGCAATGATCTTCCAGCCGCTTGTGATTTGTGGCTCATCAGCTTTCTAAGCCAGAGAGGTATTGATGTCTTTGAAGACACAGTAGGCTCTTGTAGGAAGTGGAATTAATATAATATAGGCTCTCGAATTTAATCTCTATTTGTTGAGTATAATTGACTGGAAATTATTTTGCAGAGCATTAGAGTGGTTGTACTAAAATTTTACTAAACTGTATTATTGAAATTTGTGTCAGAAAGTGTCCAAGTTGAATCTCTACTTGATTTGTAACTTTTCCTTTCTATATATGTATAATTCTACTCTGAAGTGTGCAACCATATTTTTCAGAGAATATAGTCTAGTAATCTATAATGTCTGTGCATGTAGCTTATCACTTTTATTATACCTCATTTTTATTATACCCGATACAGGCATTTCTTATACATATTCCTTCAGGTTTTGTTCTGATCTCCAGTACTGTATTACAGATGCTGCTATTTTCAGAAAATAGAACAGCCCTAAGAGCACTTAGATGTGTAATTAACTGTTTTAGTTGCTAATTTATATGCTAGAAGGTTTTTGACAAATCCTATGTTAGACTGTGCTATGGGTTAATTACTGTTTACTGTGTAAACCTACCTTAGCGATTTGGTTTTCTGAGTGTTAGTTCTCTGTGGTGCTGTGCATCTGCTGCAGACAAATGTTTAGCTTTTGTGCATTTGTTCACATAATTAGACTGTATCATAAAGCATTTACATAGTGGAAGTTTAACACTGACTTTAGTGTGTGCTCTTCTACTTTTCTTTTGCATGATTTCTCTTTTTTTAATGTTATCTGAGGAGCTGTGAGGAGGTTTAACCAGGCTGATCTGTTGTTGAATGATCTCCAGGATTCTTGTGTAAAGTTGATAAGCTCCACACAGGTGTTAAGTGTTCTCCAATCTTGAATAAAAGATTTCCTTTCTCTGAAATCTAATTAGAAGGCAGCAGCAATAAAACCTGCCTGCTTGCAATGCCCATCTCTATTCTGCTTTCAGTCCCCTGGGATGTAATTGCACTAGTGCCTTCTATTAACATACTTCAGTAGTAGATAAGGTTAGAATTGTTAGTTTTTTATATTACGAAAAGGAAGTATTTCTATCTTTTTTTAGACATCATGATAAACACCGATTTCTTTTCAGGTACTTTCAACTTCATAATGGGGGTGCTGTCTCCTGCGTATGACTTGTGGGTTAGAGCTGCCTGTACTACTGCTTGGTCATGTTTTTCCAAATTTTGTATTACTCAAGTTCACCTTGAACTGCCTTTGAGATTTTCTGTGGTGTCTGTGTTAGCACTGAGCCACTCTCTGCTGATGTTAGGACATCTGTGTGACGAGGAAAGCCATGTGTAGCCCTAAGACAATTGTGTGAGCCTGTACTATTTCTGATTACTATAGTTTTTACCTTGATTTTAGTTGGGGGTTGTCTTGCAATGTTTGCCAGTTTGCCATGGTTTAAGTGCTGGAGGAGAAAGAATGAAAGTAAGTAATTTTTTTCTGTAGTTTTTTTTCCTGTAAATATGATGATTTAAAAAAAAAAAAAAGAGGATCTGCTTAATATGGAGATGATCTTAGGCTGCTTCTTGAGAAGTGGGTGTGTTAGAGCCTTAGAGCTATTGGGATTCTGTGCGCAATAACACTTTGTTTTTAATGTGTAAAACTCTAATTCTTCACTTTCTCAACAGATATTTCCTAAAACAGCTTCCCGTTTTCTTTAGCTGCTTTCAATTTCTAGTTTATATTTGGTGTTTCCAAAGTTAGTTACATGTACCATTGAATGTTGCAGGCTTATCTGTGCATGAGTAAAGGGATATTCCTTTTCACAGCATTATTT